AAACATCATGTGCTCAGGCCTCACTTTCTGATGGTATTACTGCTAGATAAATCAATTTTCCTGGGAGGACCCTTCTGTTTTCCAGACGAAAGCCATCCCCAAAAAAATCCACCCACCTGCTCTTCTTACCCACAAGGGCAAATCTTAACTCTTCAAGTTCAGCTATAACTATACATCTCTTACAAACCCACTGCAGCCTCCTAAATTTGAATTCTTCCACCTTTCTACTGCATGCTCCAAACTGGCTCATCACTACCTGTTCTGTATTTACTGTACTTCTCTTTACTGTGTATCCACCTAGTGCTTAATCCCAAATTTCCTACTGTAGTCGTACTCTGATGTTCTGAACTGAAAATGAAGTTACAGATACTCAACAGGGTGAGGAGACAAAGGAAAAGAATTACCTTTGGGAGCTCCCAAAATGGTCACAAGGCTGCTGTTACCACTATAATCTTTGCAGTGATACATCTACAACTTTGTTAGAGGTGGCAGAGTTTGGGAGACTGTGATATTGATGGTTTATAACCAAAACATTTGGTAGTTTTGGTAGAACCATAAATTGTTTCTGCCTTGGCTCAATGAACCAACACAACCTATGAATACACCATGAAATCAATGCAACTGAGCACTGATTTACTCCACAGATAACACAGCTGGCCAAGCTGTCTCAGACTCACCCCCAAACTTCAGGACCAGATTGCACAGAACATACATGATACATTCTCAGGCAGGTGTACAAAAACATCTACTGCTATCCAAGCATATATTCTACATCGGGGGGAAAAAACCCACCAAAACCCCAAACCTGGACATATGGGAGATAAAGTTTAATGCAATCTGTTTGTGATTATCTGTTCTGAGTACTACAGAGTACATCCTACTTAACACAAACCTTTTGCCTACTTAACTCAAAGACCCCATTTTCAAGTGATATGTTAGGCCAGTTTGTAGTATGAGAGCAAGTAGCTTAACAAAGTTCCAGACAATTCAGCAATGTGATGTACAAACATTTATAGTCAAAACATGTCTACACTTGCTGCTGGTTTTATTTTTGCTGGGGGGTGAGGGTGGGATTTTGGTTTGGTTTTTCTAACATTAATTCTGCAAGTTCAAACATTAGCTTATTTAGAATAACAGCAATTTAAAATTCAACATTGAATTTTTGACATTAGCCTGTAAATATTTTATGCTAGAAGTAACGCTAAATATATGCAAGTCTGCATGACTGGGGCTTTATTTAGTTTTATTTAGCAATGAGCTGGAAAACAGCTTTTACAGTGAATTTAGTTGGGCACCACTTCCTGAGCATCAAGTAGGCAAGTGGAAGGCCAAAAATAATGATAAACAGATTCAGTTTGGGGCATATTCTCTTAGCACTCTTTGTACAAGTCTTGTTCCTGCAGTGCCATTTTGTTTCACACTACTCGTAGCTACTGAAATCAGTTGACATCTTGCACCCAGTATTTAATAAATCATTAGACCAACTTTTCAACATCACACTAGTTCAGGAAGGCATGGCTCCTTAGGGGGTTGGGTTTTTTCCCCCTGTATTTGCAATTAAATCATATATCGAATACATTTAATATTTTTAATATAGCAACAAACATTTGAGGCTGTTTGAGTGTGGAAAAAAGGTCTGGGCTACTGAGTTTAAAGTACCTGAAGGAGCACTGGGGTTGTTTCACCAACGAACAGCATCCTGAGGGTATAAGGAACAAGTCGAACATGCTGGGATTTCAATGTTAAATACACTTTCTTTTTGGAATCAATTAACACCAAAATTTGTTTAAAAAAGAAGGAAAAAAGCAAGACATCTAGAACATACACAGGATGAAAGAATTTCCTACTAGGAGAAATCCAAAGGATGCTTTTTGATAGCAGGCCTCAAGAATGAGTAAATTAAGTTTGGAATTTAAGAGAAAACTGAAGACAAGAACAGTGTTTGGGTAAGGCAGAGCAATTTTGCTTTTGTCTGATTTTCATAGTGAACACTGTCAAAATCCAAACCAGGTTAATGAATTCTCAGATTTCAGCTATCTTTATGAAGCTGCAGTTTATTATTTTATTCTCGGTCGTCTCACATTCCTAAGCGACTGTGTAGAAAAGACTCTACCAAAAATTCTTCTTTGAAACTGTACTTGGTAATCCTTCATCTCCTGCCTATTGAGATTCATTGTACAGATTTAGCACAAGTCATTTCAACTCAAAAAAAACCAACAAACCTTTGATGAAGTCAAGGAAAGTAAATCCACAAGTTTTTCTAAATGCAAAATCAGCACCACTTATAGCAAATGTTACTGTCAGAAAGGATGTTGCGACAGTTCCAGCTTCAACATTATCTCAGCTATCAGACAAATATATTCTACATCTGCTCCTCTGGCAAAAACAGACATAGCAAACAAATCATAGTGCAAACACATTAGCATCAGTGTTCAAACCGTAGCCTGTTATATCTAGACATTTGAGAGGTTTAGGTAGAGTAGACATGGCACTAATATTCAGGCTCCTAAAGCTTTTCTTATAATCCTTTGACCACATTATAAGCCTTAAAAACAAACACCAGCCACTGAAGATGAATACTTTTTGAAAGCTCTCTCAGTAAAAGCAAAGCCTACAATGAAGAGGATAATGAAAACAGTTTGGCAACTTCCAACATAAAGAAATTCAGAAATCTTTAACTACAGGTATTCCACGATTTAAAACTTGGATTTTAACAGCAAGCTAAGCATACAGACCCTACAAGAAATCTGGAGAGGGGATTTTGACAAGGACATGTGATAAACCAAGGGGGAATGGCTTTAACCTGACAGAGGGGAGATTGAGATGAGACATCAGGAAGAAATTCTTCCCTGTGAGGGTGGTGAGACGCTGGCACAGGGTGCCCAGAGAAGCTGTGGCTGCCCCATCCCTGGCATGTTCAAGGCCAGGTTGGACACAGGGGCTTGGAGCAACCTGCTCTAGCAGAAGGTGTTCCTGCCCGTGGCAGGGGGTTGGAACTAGATGGGCTTTAAGGTCCCTTCCAACCCAAACTATTCTATGGTAGGATACAAGAAGTCACTTTTTCCACCTTCATGAAAGATTTTCATGCCTGACCAGTCTAAGAACCCCAGAAGTGGTTTGTAACAAACACACTATTGCTCCTGAATAATCAAAGACTGATCATTGTGATGTGAGCTAGCTACTCAAACTGAATAAACAAAAGAAGTATAATGTCCTTTATAGCCCTGCATTATCACAAGATAGAAACACAGGATCAATGAGTTTGGAAAAGACGATCAAGCCCAACCCTTCCCCCAGCACTGCCAAGGCCACCACTAAACTGTGTCAACTCAGGGCCTCATCTACACGGTTTGTGAACACTTTCAGGGACGGCGATTCCACCACTGCCCTGGGCAGCCTATTCCAATGCCTGACTGCCCTTTGGGGAAGCCATTGTTGCTAATATCCAGATGTTAGTAATTGACTTTTCTGTTACATTAGTGATAACATATCACCACTGACAAAAAATTATAGCCCAGTCAGCAGTGCTCCTGCAGTATATTCATGGTCTCTTGAATAGGAAGATTTTTTCAAACACCACCTTCATGCAATGAAAAATTAATACTCATGTCAACCTACATTAGTATATTCGTGTTGTATTTGTCTTTTGTTTGGAAAGAATCAGGAGTTATTTTCAGTTCTACGTGTGCATGAACTTCAACTCATTTACACGAACAACTACCTGAAAGTAATATTTAAGGCACTGTTATGCTGGATGGTGGTTTTTTCCTATGTTGAGATCACAAAGTGCTCTAGAAGTACTGTTCTATTGCATTGTCTTGAAAAGCCAACTTTGGAACACAGAAGTTCTGAAATCGCAAGTGAGAGGTTGCTTGGCAATCTGACTTCGGTCCTCATGCTTCAGCATTACTTTATAGACTAAAACTCTGATCTCCCTCCTTATTTACAGAATAGATCCACTGAAAATGAATAAGCAGCAAGTTCATGGCACGGCCAGAATCTAAAGAAACTCAAACTTCTGAGCACTACACACTTCAGCGAGTTTCAAAGTCAGAACAGTCTTAGACCAAATTCCTCTCCCTCTTTACAGATGGGTTTAGACAACTCCATTGATGACAACCATGGCAGGAAGAATTGACACAGACCCTTAAATACAGAATTTCCAGCCTATTTAGTACTTAACAAAAATATCTTAAATAGACGTTTTGTCTAATGATTTGTGGCACAGCCAGGGATTAAAAGTTAGGAAGTCAGTGAGGGCACATGCTCTGCCTATTCTGTTCAGAGCAGAGGAAAGCTTTACTTCCTCTGCAAAGCTTGACTACGCAGCACTGCTCAGCTCTCATTTCTTTTCTGCAGCTCAGGGAAGACTACCCTTCTGCCTGAAATTCATTTCTACTTATGGTTCTTATCTCGGTTTATTCTTCAGTTTAGCTAAGTCATAAACTGTTGCTGACCTTGCAATATGTATTTTTTGTGTCTACAGCTAAGAATTGCAATTGCTCAGGAAAACTAAATGGAGAAAACATAATTGGTATTACCCTCCCTCCCAACAGCAAAGACTGACAGAAAGCTGTCAGTTGTGAAGCTGAACTAGGCACTTTTACAATCTCATTTGCTGTTAAAAGAAACTAAACAATTCAGCAAAGAACTTCAAAACAGAACTTAAAGAATAGCTTGATCATGATGGGTTTAGTGGCAGATGAAAAAAAACCTGCTTGGATCCATCTCAGACCAAAGCTAAGAAGGTTCAGAAACTGATTTTGATGGGACCCATTGAGCTGTTTCCAAGTTGAACTATTGACAGATTTTTAGAAGCAACCAAGTTTAGCAAATACGTCCCTTTTTCATTTTGATTCTAACAGACAGAAGTTTTGGTATTGGAATACCAGATAAAGGGCATATCCTGAAGGGATTTCCATGGAAATGTTTTCATCTTTGCCCATCTTCAGGCAAAAGGATGGGGAATTTGTGATGGATTTATGGCTGATGATATTTAC